CTAACATGTGGCTCACATAACAGTGGTGTGCATTTGTGAAGATTATCTTACTGAACAGAATTTGTAAGTATCATAAACTTTTGTTTGCCACAGATCTTATTTTCGGCAATAATTTAAAATCCAGTGGAAAAATCCTGTAGGCTTTTTGACGAAGGAACCAGGGTGACGCTAACTTCCACATCGGCCTTAAGAAAAACGTCACTAGCAGATGTTTCTGAAGACATTTTAGTAGAGAAATAGGTAAAACACTGAAATAATCACGGTTTATATTTGATCAGCTCTGCTGAGTTTTACCGTTTGATCTTAGGTTGATCTGAGTTTGAGAGAGAAAGAGAAGGAAGGCTCTCTCTCTCTGGATTCACTTCTGTACTCTCCAGGTGTGTTTGACTTTGAGATAAATTTTCATGGTGGTGAAAAAATGGAATTACAACTTCCAGGTCTATCACGTGATGTCATGTGGCCAAAAAAGACTTACATTTTTAAAGAGACATCTTTAAATCAGTGGATTATTTTTTTAGCATAACAATCCCTGTGAGATGACTTGTTTCACTATCAGGATTTGATACATTTGGTCCAATAACATTTAGAAAGTTTACAAGAGCAGCTCGATTAAATAATTTTCATCCCCTTTTAAGTTAGCGCTAAAACAGAACTTAGCTACTCGGCTCACGAAAATCTGTAGTGCGCTTGCACTATGGGCCCGATAATGCAGAAGATCTGGGTATTTTGAAATTTTATAATCAGGAAGTAGAACGTTTTTGGCTTTGTGCACCACTGAGCAATTTTCATACAAATGAACGGGGCCCCGCCTCCAATACTATATCCAGTTCTCTTGATAAATTCATATGAAAATGCGTAATTCAGTTCAAGCAACAATCCTTGAGCTAGCATAAAACCACTGGATGATGTCAAACCGGTCATCTGGTGGATCTGAGCTGAGAGGTGAACAGAAGATCTGGGCACTGGTGAGATGGAGTCAAGTTTAACTGTTCATTCACAATAACTGCCCGTACTGTTATGATACAAAGCTGGTTAAAAATCAGCAAAGTATTCCTTTAGCCTAATTATTTTGCAATCCATCTTACTGGTACCACATCATCACATTCTCAGTAAAAACAATATTTTAGAAGGATGATTCATAACTGAAAGAGTTTAGGCGGGTTGTTGACACTATAGATTTTCTTATAAGTGACACACTTGTACAGTGCAATGTGACAAATTCAATTATTTCCTCTAATATATGCTATTGCAGACTTCTGCCTCCCACAGTTCACTTCAGCTGCCCTCAGTCTCTCTCCTGGGCACAGCCCGCAGTCATCACGTACCCAGTGATGTGCTAATAGCCAGTGAAGAGCAGAAAAAGGTGTCTTTATATGGCTCAGCCACAGGCACTGTCTGCACCGCTATAGGTGACGGCACCTATACCCTCCTCTGTTGCTTTCATGTTATTTTTTCTTCATATTTTCACTGCTGCTTTTGTTCTTTATTGCCCCACTGTCAACCTGAATCACACCAGAGCTCAAGGAAAGTGACAGAATCGTACACATGAGGTGTTTGAACAGTGCGTCTGTGAATTCTGGTGCATAGCCGCATGTAATCATGTGCATGCAAGCAAGAAATTGTTCAGAGCCTCAGAGCCAATTAAGGGTCTCAAATAGGAAAGTCACATGTAAATATTCCATAGTAGAGTTTCTGGTACGTGCATATTTAGCAACGATAAGCAAAATAAAAAGGCTTTTATATCGTCTTCACTCTTTCTGGGGCGGCATGAGATCCTCAGTCACATTATCAGTGAAAAAAGAACAGCTGGCTGACCATGTATAAATGAAATGACAAGAAACAGTCACCTACTAATAATCTTATCAGAAGCAAAAATGTATCATTAACAAACCACAAGCGATGAGAGGTCCCAGTTTTGAGACTAAAGTGACCTTTAGTGAAGTAGATGAGGTCAGTGTGAAACTGGAACTGACCACTGAGTGATACTTCACTCTGTTTCCCTGAATCTACTTCTGTTTCTCTGTTTCCCTTGACGTTTCTTCTCACTGACAGGAGGCACATCACACCACGGTTTCAGTGGAAGGAGCTCAGCCCAAACTGACCATTGCATGACCGCTGGCCAAACTGCAACCTTCGACTCCCATAAACTGAGGAAGTTCATGGGATGAGGCTGATGTTGCCTCAGATGATCTAGAAAATGCTTGCCTAATGCCTGTGATGTTACTGAAAAATATGCAGCAGATCTGTTGACGGATAATGTCACTGGTATCTCTCATGTATCATTCCTGGTAAGGCACTGGTGTTAAGGTGATGGCAAAAGTTCAGTGGTCAGTCTTATCTTATAATATAAGGGAAAGCCCCATTTGCAATTTAAAGAGAAGAGTTTAAAGTGTATCTCAAATTCAGCATCAAATGAAACTGTTGAAATTTGAATGATCGCTAAACCTGGCCATCACGTACATGTTAAAGGGACACTGCACCAATTTCACACATGAAGTTCAGTTTGCTTGTTATAAGAAGTACTGCAGTCTGTAAAAATACTCCATGCAGAGCTATCCTCTGTAGCTCTGCATGGAGTATTTTAAAGTCTAAGAAAATAACCCAGATGATGTCATTTCAAGAAAGATGCTGTTAAATTGCATTATGGGAAATGCAGGATCCTGTGACTCTGGAGCTTGACTCTTACTAGGAACCAAAAAATCTGGATGTTTTGGCCTCTGTGTCTTCCATTTTATCTAATCTGTCTCTTGAGACAAAACTAAAAGGCTGGAGTATCCCGACTGAAAACAGGGTCATCTTTTTACAGCTCAAAATAAAAGACGCTGTAAAATGGCAAATTCCACACACAACAATCACACTGTGAGTCCAAAAATTCACCTCATTGTCTGCCACAGGCCTTCGATGGCATCTCTCTTGTCGTGTCTGCACAGCAGACCATCAGAGGACTCTGTCTGTCATAGAAAAGCACAGGAGACAATATAGTTAAAATTGAACGATTATACCCACAGTGCAATGGTGTGATACTCCCATTATCTTCAATGGTTTGGGAGAGCTTAAGACATTATGACTACTCTGTTTAATGTTACAGCTGATATCGATTAGGGTTAGTGACAACATGATGACTTTCAATATGGGTGAACTTTAATTTACGAGGCAACTTCTATAACTAAGAATAGCCCTGTCCTCCACTGATAGGTGGAGAACAAGTAATTTCCACAATTGACTACTTGCCTTGAATTATTATCGAGTACTCGTGGAAAAAAATAATAACAGGTAGGGGTTAAATTTAGCCTACCTTTCTGCACTGCATAGACAGTGGAGATAAGCTATGATACGCAAGTTTAATGTCAGCTTACACTGCAAATTCTTGTCATTTATTTTATTGAAATACTTCTAAACATCACTTGTATGCACATAAGGGAAAACATAAGAGAAATGGTGGAGCTGAGTGTGTATTAAAGTAAGAGAAAAGAAAAATGCAAAAGTCATTGAGAGGGTGTTACATAAAAAAAGAAGAGGAAGAAGAAATTTGCAAATAAAATATTCTATTATAGTGTGTTTTATATTGTTATTGTTTAGTTGCTATGTTGTTTATTTGTGTTAATTTGTAGCAACAGATGTTATAAGGATCTGTGCAGATATTCACAGACAGCAGTTACATCACTGCGTCCTGTCCATAAAAATTAAACTTTTAATAGAGAACAGGCTCAGTTTACGTATGTATTTAATTAAACAGAGCAAAAAAATAATAATTGTGCAATTACTCTACACGCTACCAACACTGATGTCCAAATCGAGTGCTCATGCCATCCTTAAAACATTTGAAAAGATGGGTGAGATGCTGCCATAGTAATGAAAGAAGAGAACAACACAAACACACACATGTGACCCGAGGATAGGTGTAAGCAGAGGGCTGTAAAGTCGAACTAGACGATATGAACGTGCGTGGGCGCATGGCCCTCTGGGAAATGATTCAGAGGTCATTACCATACAGCGAAGACAAAGACGTCTTTCTGACAAACAGGTGTTCAGTTCGGGGGGACATTTCTTTACTCTCAGATACCTTCAAGGCTCCATCACTTGTTTCCACTACCTTAAATTTCTACAAGAACATTAAGTTCGGTGCACTTAATAAAAACATTTAAAACAGTGAAATAAATGAGACATTACAGTTTTAATTTCTAATACTACAGATATATGTTTCCTACAATGTTAATTTAAAGTATATATTTAATGAGCAGCACTGGATTCGTTTTATGATTATTATCTCTCTCCATCCATTACCATTATTATCTTTCATTTTATTGTCACATAATTAGCCTGCAGTCATGTATGATACCCCGAGCATATGTACACTTTTGCCAGACACCCATTATGCTTCATGCATTTTTGAAGACATCACGCCCAAGAGTTTACGCCACCTACCCATCCTCTCCCTGCCTGCAGGGTGAAGGAGGGCAGCAGTGCGCCTCCTCCGCCTCCCACATCCCGGAGAACTGGAAGCGCGCCAGGATGGGATTGGCTTCCCGCTCCTGTCAGGGAGGAACTGGTGCGCCAGGATATCCAAATATGTACTGTCCGATATCAGCAAGGATCGCATGACTCAGCAGCAGACTATATATCCTTACCGCTGGTGAGAATGAAAGGCAAAGTGGCTGTTGGAGTGTTTAAGTGTCCCAGAACGGATAGAAAAGGATTGATGTGCCTTGGGAGTGTCTTTAAGCTGTGAGACACGTTCAAACTGACTTGGTAATAAAGGGTACTGAGTGTGGATGCGCACTTGATGTATTTTATATGTTTACCTGGACTGAGTTTCCCCAACGCCGACTAGGCCTCGTCTTGTTTACAGTCCTTGTTCCCGGCAACAACGTCATCAAGCGCTTTTGACATCCACGGAGGCGGGGACCACGGAGAAAACAACCAATCAGCAGGCTGCTCGGAGCGCTCGTTGAGCCGGATGAAATAAGTAGAGCAGAGCAAGTCGGGCGCTTGTCATTTAAGAGGAAACACGAGTGGAGCACATTCAAAGCAGAAAAGACTCTCCTACACACGAGTGGAATCAAAACATCTGAATTAGTCACTGGACTCCGCTTTGAATTCAACCAAAAGGTACAAATCGACGACTTGGTACAGTACAGTTCCACTATTTTGGAAGTTTTGCTCTGTTTTTTTGATAGCTTTGGTCTTCAGTATAATAATACAGCGGGACTTTGTGCTGGAGATTGAATCAGTTGGGACACTAAAGCTTCGGTGTCCAAGCAGCATCTTTGCAGCGCACTCTTGTATTTTGACTGTCTGATTTGAAATATGTCCACAATAATGGAACAGCCTTTTTATGACGACTCGTTTCTCTCTGCTTATGGCCATTCAGGCGCAGCCCTGCCAGACTACAAGCTCCTAAAGCAGAATATGAACTTGAACTTCTCCGATTCATATCGGAACTCAAACTTCAAGTCACAGCACCTGCGCGCCGACAGTGATTTCTTTTCGGCCGGCACGGCGGACGTGGGCTCACTGAAGCTCGCCTCTCCTGAACTGGAGCGACTGATCATCCAGAACAGCAACGGGGTCATCACAACCACACCGACACCTGCCCAGTACCTGTACAACCGCGGGATCACGGAGGAGCAGGAAGGCTTTGCTGACGGTTTCGTGAAAGCTCTGGACGACCTGCACAGGATGAACCAGATGGCTCCTCCAAACGTGTCCATCGGTGGAGTTGCTTGTGGCGTCCCCGGTGGAGTTGTCTGCTCGGCTCCAGCCACGGTGTTCGGCTCATCCATGCAGCCAGAGGCGCTCGAGTACACCACCCTGGGCAGCTGTACCACCAACCCCAGCCTGTCCTCAGCCTCCAGCTATCCCTCCACCACCATCAGCTACCTGCCGCATCACCAGTACCACCAGCATCCCCAGGCTGTTGCGCACGGATCTCACCATTTCCAGCACTCCCTGGCTGGTGCTGGCATCCACTCGCAGCGGTACGGCGGGTTGAAAGAGGAGCCTCAAACGGTCCCTGACATGCAGAGCAGCGACGGGTCTCCTCCGATGTCCCCCATCGATTTGGAGAATCAGGACCGGATGAAAGCGGAGCGCAAGCGGCTGAGGAACCGGCTCGCAGCCTCCAAGTGTCGGAGGCGCAAGCTGGAGCGCATCTCTCGTCTGGAGGACAAGGTGAAAGTGCTGAAAACAGACAACGCCGGACTGTCAAACACGGCTTCTGTACTGAGGGAGCAGGTGGCCCAACTCAAACAGAAAGTCATGACACATGTGAGCAGTGGCTGCCAGCTCATGTTGGCGCCCAAAGTGAAGTCTTACTGAAGAAACAAAGCACTTTTAAAAACACTGGACATGAACTGCACTGATACACAATGAACAATGTCTGATACATATGAGAGAACTGGACTCTGATGGTTTCTGTCTGAAAGACAAGCAGCAGAAATCACACAAGACTAAAACACTTGGGCATTTTTTAAAAGTTTTTAAAAGTGTCGTCTTGGCTTTGCCTGTTTACATTTTACTTTAATTGCAATCTGTGATACATTCTCATGTAAGTTATTTGTGTTTGTCAGGTTGAGCCTGATGAGCATGCGCTTTTTTTTACTTGTACAGTATATATTTAAGTAAATGAAATTATGAAACTAAGAAATATGTGTTGCTGTTTCTTTTTGAGCTATGTGTATTTAGAACTCTTAGGGTTATTACGGTAATTCTCGTTAACGTAACCACTCTCGTCTGGTCAGCAGTTAAGTTTCAGCAGCAGACAGTTGCTTGACGTTGGAGACGTCCCAGCGTAGGATTGTTTCCCTATTGACGCACATACGTCAGTCCTTATATGGTCAATTTTGCTGGCAAACGTCATGTAACGAAAAGGTTTCCGGGAACTCCCTCCTACACTGCCCGTCAAAAATGCTGCGCGCTCCCCTTCACACCACAATGTGTGTGTATGTGTGTGTGTGTAAATGAAGAGGTTTGTCAATAAGTGGTTTATTCGAGTTGAGGGAGTTTCCCCATTCTGCTTTCAATTTCCCAAAACAAGTCGTGAGAACACTAGCTCAGGAAAAATGGTAGAAAAAAAAGTTCCAGACAAACATGCAGAGTAGACTTTCTGTCTGATGGTCGAGAGCTAGTCTGAAATTACAAGAATTAGTGTCAACAATAGCTGGCAGGAATACATGTAGGGGAGGAGAGGTGAGAAATTATATATAGGATCCACACATAACAGAAAATAGACAATAAATTATATGAACTAGGTCACAAAACATGAATTATTGTATCTAGAGAGTGATGATATGGAGAGTTGGGAGACAGAATAACATCCTGTTGATCAGAGACCACTTGAACAGTAATACAAATAATATGATCCCTGAACAGATACAAGTGTCAGCTAACAGTTTATCAAGTTTTTAGACCCCAACACAATGTACAGGGAGTGAATTTTCCCAAGATGTTTAGGACACTTTGTTCTGGGCTTAAAAACACAGTCTTATATTTCAATGTCACCTGTCTGCACATCTCTCTGAAAAAAGTACATTTGTGAAATGATTATATTTTCATAAATTACTGAGATATGGAATTTGACTGTCTTCCGAGTCTTTATTTCAGTTTCACCTACCACAGGGTGTCTACAGATATAACCAAGTTAAATCTAAGACTTCTTAAGAGCTTTTTAATACCACCTTATATGAAATTTAAGACCAGACCTGTAACGGAAATTCACAATATACATATATATAGGTGTGTGTGTGTGTGTGTGTGTGTGTGTGTGTGTGTGTGTGTGTGTGTGACACATGTAAGTACTCTTTCCAAGTAAACACACTGATGTCAGATTAACAGTCAGAAAAAATAACAATTGCGTGAGATTAAGTTTGATGTGTCATAACTGCTAGTTATTACTGCAGTTCTTCAGTCTGTGCAATGATTGCAAACAGTCATTAGGTCTGTCAGGCTGGAGATATTTTCACAATGATGTGACCAAAAATATTTAAGATCCATTGAATCTGAATTTAAGACAGTTTAAGACCTTTTAAGGCTTTTAAGGACCTGTAGTCACCTTGCTATCAGCTTTATGTGGTTACCATAGGCTACATGCTGCCTATAAATTTGTGCTGGCTACTGAATTTGTTTCAGTTTCCTTAAGAATAAATAAATACAATTAAATGAATAAATAAAACAACTTTAGAGTAAAACAAAAAGTTAAATAGGTGAATTCTGCTCATCAAAATAGAGGTTGATATGTAGGCTTATATGAAGTTCATGCAGTCAACATTAACTCTAACTTCACAGTGGGTCTTATTCTTTTAGGAAAACCTTTGTCTTGTTTTAGTCTTCATTTATTAATTTGTAACAAGGTAGAAACTTTTAACAATACTGTCCAAACTGCCTGAGGTTAGTGTCCCAACTGTTCCACGGAGAGCAGACACACCTTGGACTCCTGTGCTGGCTCCTAATAAAAAATTCAGTCATCTAACACCGGCATGAACCGACAGGCCGGAATCTCAGCTCTCCAATGATATGCTTTTGGTATGTGGCATGACTGTAAACAATGCGGTAGAATTAAAATAGGAAAAGAGCCGAACATCTTCTAACATGCTGTAGAAACTAAAACAGTGTATAAAATGTGGGGAATAGTGAGAAGGTGTCTACTTTGAGGTTGAAAGTGAAGAGGGTTTAGTATGCGGATGGTGAATGTCATAGGCAAAGTTACTTTCTAAACCCCCCCTTTCCCACTGCACAAACACTAACACCTGCTAACATCTGGCTTTGGTAATTAATGGGAAAGGTTACAATCGTCATTCACACCAGGGACACGTCTCTGCGTTAGTCATGGGTATTTATCAACTCCAATCGGCGGTAATGGGAATATAACACCCCAGTGGACGTGCTAATTTTGGCCCCTTTACCAGAGAGATGCAATGATGGGCCGCCACAAATACCATTCTTATCTTTAAATTATTCTGCACAAAGTTTGAAAGACAGGCTGAGTAAGTAAGGGATATAAAAAATAAGTAACAACCGTAACATGTTCACCAGGCTCCATGCTGTTTCTTACTAACATGTTTTCCAGCCTGTCAGTGACGTTGAATGTGACACACCTGAGTGAGTGTAGCACCTATTTTTAGCAAGTGTTACCATGTTAAAAAACCCACACACATGCACTAATTTGGGTGGAAAAGGGGTATAACTTGCCAAAGAGGCACTGTCCCACAGTCTCCCCTACCCCACTGTTCATACTTCAGTAAATATGACATGGACTGTGACGACTGATCCAATGTTACCTGAAAAAAGTACTGTCGATACACTGAAAAGGATTTAAATTTAAAAAAAAAAAAAACAGTGGGATACACACGGATAAATATTTTCCTCAAACAATCAGAAGGACCTGGAACAGTCATGCAGATCTGTGTGAACTCATACCCAACAATCCAATCTTTCCCAAGAGCTGCAAGAGCTGCAGAGCCATTTGGCAATGCCAGGTTGTTGTGCTGAGTCAAACACCACAATAACTCCAACATTAACCAATACTTCAGCCTTGTGACGCGCTCAGATCCTCAGCCAGGCACAGGGCCCGGGACTGATACATCAAGTTAATCCCTAAAATGTCTGTTGGTGTAATACTTCCAAGTTGTAAAGTCACCAAACTTATAGGCACTGAGAGCGGATCCAGGAAGAACTTTGGCTCCATCTAGTGGCCACAAGTGGAACAACTTTCATAACATACACAGCAATGCTGCCATGTTCGTCTGACAAAAACGCACGTACCAGTCGTCACAATTTTCCCACTGTTTTAATAAAGATGACAGCAAATTATCAAATTACAGCAAGGAAAAACAGCAACATTTCTTCTGAAAAAGGATCAAAACAGCTTTAGTTTCAGTGCTTGAGACTATGAGGTCGCCCCACCAATTGTACACTGGACATACAAAGATAAAGATTGGCAACAAAAGATTTACCTAACAAGTGTTTTAATGTTGTTGGGTTTAATACGTGAAAATGGACGCCATGAGATACTGCTTCAAAGGTACACCTCTCATCCAAAAGGCAGGCTCTACGGTTAGGAAGTCAGCGAGAAGACCTTCACATTTACTGCTTGGAGAAGAAGGCTTTGCTCTTCTCGACGTCGGGAACAATGGTGTCGCTCCCAGGTTTCCAGCCAGCAGGGCACACTGTGTGAAGAGAGAAGTGACAAAGTTTAGCACAAGGCGCAAGTAGCGGACATTGAACTTTGCTTACAGAGAGAACAAAGCACGTGTGAATAGCCTAGAGGGTAAACCAGTAACACAAGGCTATGTCCAGATACTAAGCCCTCTAAATCAGTTTATTGCTACAAGCAACCTCATTTCGTTCTTTTAAACTCTAGGTGTGAGGTGTGCCATACAAATAATCTACACCCATAATGCCAACTGTTTCTATAAGATGTGAATGTGACCAAGAAAAGTCAGATAAAAATGAGGCTGAGGAGCTTGTAACCACCCGAACAGAAAATAAATGCAGACACCACTTTCTCAGCTCTAACTTCGCGGCAGGTCATCATAAGGAGGAGCTGTTACTGATTAAACTTCTAGGAGCTGATGCAAAGGCCAGCAACATAATCAGTGCTTTTAGTTACCGATTACTGAACGATTAATCCATTTGATTTACCGGCATTAACAGGATATTTTACAATCTATCATCATCAGTGGAACTTGGCGCCAATAGCAACCAATGGCTGCACAGCCTCCACTAGTCATGCGGAGACATTAATCAGCAACTGGAGCTGAAGAGGGAGGGCTGCGTTCGATGATAAGTGGCTACAGCTCCAGAGGATTCAGGTTCCTTCTAGTGTGTTTGAGTGTATCCTTCTTTATTTAGCATGTAGCCTGGACTGCAGTAGAGGAGCTGTCTGTGACTGAGTGAATGTGTCCACTAAGTGTTTCAAATTAAAAGTCCTCTAGCATTTCATACATGGTCCAGCCATATACAAGGTTTTCGTCTAGTCTTGTTTTTTATGTTTTATGAATCATTGAGAAATTATTTTGAGTATGGATGCCCTGATTTATCAGCTGAACATCGAAATCGTCCAGTATTTGCCTTGTTGACTATCATCAGCCTATCAGCAAATAAGATGATATTCACTGATGTCAGTGGCCGACATTTTTCTGTTGTGTCACACCATTTTTGCACAGGCTAAAAAGCAGGAGTTGAACTAATACTGTCCCAGACACGATAGACGATGTGCTTGGGATGAACAGAGATCTTCCACCGGGGCGCCATCAGGATGAAAAGGACGCAGTAAACTCACTATTGACACATCCTATTTTTTCTTCTGATAATGCGACATTGTGAAAGACAAATCCGTGTTGACATGAGCAGGAGGAAAGCTAGTTAACGTTAGCTGTTAGCAGCTGTTGGCCAGACATAACAGCTAATGGAAAATTTTCATAAATTTGTATGACTGAATTTTTGTTCATCCAAAGGTAGTGTAATAAAGGACTAAATGACTTTAAAAAAGTTTAGTTCATTTTTCATACTTAAGATTTCCTCATTTGCTTGGCACAAAGGAGAGAATAAATAACAAAGATGAAATGAACAAGAAAAAAACCCATCTGTATCAGTATCGGCCCAGAATTTCAGAAAAATTCCATCCCTAATTTTGAAAATAAAAAAATTACTTTAGACTTGAGTATCTTGTTTCAAGTTACATTTGGATCTTTTACCAGTTACACAATACTCTTAAGTAATTGAAATACATATTTTGAATTATTACTTTGAGTGTGATTTATTTATTTAGGTATCCATTACTTTGACTCAGATATTCAGGTCAATAGTTATTTGAACATTATCCAGTTTCTAATAAAGTCAAAGACTACCTTTTTGTGTGTGTGCGTGGGGGGATGATAATGGCCAATAATTATCTATCGGCTTTTTCCTTCTCCTAACTATGGTTATAATATCGGCCTTTAAATAAAACCACCATCTGTCGACGTCTTATTACAAATTCATGATACCGAGTTTCCTGTACAAGGAGCTGTAAAAAAAGATGACCAAAACAACTAAGCACAGGTAAGCAAGAGTATTGACAGGTGTTTTACTCACCCTCTCCATATTTGTCAGTGTGTTGGAAGGCCTGTACCAGACGCAGAGTCTCATCCACAGAGCGACCCACAGGCAAGTCATTGATGGTGATCTGCCTCAAGATGCCCTTGCCGTCGATCACAAACAGACCCCTGAGAGGCACAAAGTCAGGTTAAAGCACTGCTTTACAGACATATCTGGTTATTAACTTGTGTCCCAAGCTGCACAAGCACCAACTGAGATGGCATACTGGCCAAGTTGGATGTGTTTATGTTAATGCTCTCTCAGACAAATATGTAAATTGGGCTGCTGAATATCGGTAGTCCAAACGAAATGCTTAATAAGCTACATTCATTAGTCTCTCTACTTGCTTTAGATATTCTAGCTGCAGTCACACCAGCTGTCTGCCTGACCTGTATGCGACACCATCGTCCTCCTTCAGCACACCGTAGTCTCTGGCGATTGTCTTGGTGAGGTCTGCCACCAGGGGGATTTTCATTGTGCCCAGACCTCCCTGCTTCCTTGGTGTGTTGGTCCTGTAGGTAGAAATAAATAAATAAATAAATAAATAAATGCTGAGGCAAAAAAGGGCAACATTTTCTGTTTCCAGCTTCTTAAATGTGAATATTTTCTGGTTTCTTTCCTCCTCTATGACACAAAAAACTGAATATCTTTGGGTGGTGGACAAAACAAGAAACTTGAGGAAGCCATCTTGGGCTTTGGGAAACACCAATCAATATTTTTCACCATTTTCTGACATTTTAAAGACCAAACAACTAATTGAAAAAAATAAATAAAAATCAACAATGAAAATACTTTTTAGCTTCTGGCCTAAAAAAACAAAGCACAACCTTATGCATCATGTTGCATTTAGTCTTTTTTGCCATGAGAACTTGTATAATAGTGATGCAGAAAATCTAAGCAAGAATGCAATTTTATTTTATTTGCCACGTTGTTCTTTCTCTCACTGAACTACTGAATATGTTTTGTAGTGTTCTCTGATCCATTTGCCTACGCTGGATCTGAGAGAAGCCTTCTATAAAATCGCAGGTAGCATTATACATCAATAAGTTCACCATATTATTCATCAGTAACTCCTTCTAACCATAATGTTATCACTTTGGATTATGTTTTAATGCTTGGTCCAGATCTGCCAAAGTCCATTTTACACTGTAGATACTGCAGCTAAGAGGATCTAAAGCAGATAAACTCAGTGGCTGTTTTTAAATGTATTCTTAAAACTCACTTTTATCATTGGGGTTTTTCCTAAGTGATGGTATTTACTGTTACTATTTATACTGTTTTATCCTGTTTTATATGTTGGACCTTTTTTTCCAGCTTTATTATTGTTTCACTAACTTTGTTTTGAGAGGCGCGACATAATCAAAAAGTTATTACTATTATTTCTATTATTGAAACAGCAATTAAAAAAATCAATTGGTTCTTATCACAGACAATTTCAATCAATAAAAATCATTTCACTTTGATGTGTTTCTTTCAGGACAGTGTTAGACCTAAATGCAGTTCTTGAGTACAACATTAAAATCTGCTGCATCAAATTTTAAGTTTAAGAGGTGTATAATGTGCAGCTTTAGAAATAAACATGTGGTAAAACGAGTTAACTTTTGAAGAAGAAATGCCCACATTCCTGTCTTATCTTTTATTTGCAAGCAGTCGTGTTGCTCAGGGCTGCAATATTTTTTTCAGATTCCTCATGGAAGGAAGTAGGAAGCACACAATCAGTCCATTTTGTGCAATTAAGAGTCAAATGATGCACCAAACGCCCCCTTTTATGGGACCGTACATAGAGACAGAGACAGAGAGTCTGGATTAACAGAGCAAGCTGATAGCCACCTTCATGGTGCTGATCACCTCTGACTGAGGCTTTAAGATCTGTCAAGCCAGCTAACGTGAAGAAAGCCTGGCTCTGTCGACCTTGCTTTGTAGTACACCCCTCTGACAAGAGTGTTACTCTAACTTCTGATGTAATGGACTTCAAGTATGTCAAAATGTCTCCCTATCAAGACGCGGTGCAGAGACCGTTACATAAGAACTTATCAAGACTGTGCAGTGAAGTCCAGTGACAGGAGATAACCTGATAAACTGGGGTGGGTGTTGCTTCAGATCTGCCAAATACAGCTACTATCAACAGAGTAATAAGACATTTACAGCTCGGGATGACTGTCATAAATAATGTGACAATATTTACTGAGTTCTGATACAGACTCTACACTTTGCTACACAGCTCCCAGTGCACACTAACCTTTAAGTAGGCCATGGTCAGAAATGGTTAACACTTAATGGAACTGAGACATTGTTAACGTTATCAATTTCACCTGTGCTTTTCTTACTAAGACAACTCAAAATGTCTTCAGAGAAAAAGGTCCATCCATGGAGTCCTTGCGTTTTTGTTTTTTCAGTAGCCATCCAATAGTTTTTTCATAATCTTAGTATTATAAATATTTATGGAGTGACCCTGTGTTGTTGATCTTATGTGACCTGCAAACTAACCGGGCGTCTACAGGTATAAACAAGTTGAATAATACCTTTGTAATACTATCTTTAATTAAAATTAAAGACCAAAATACACTCTTAACAAGTAATCAAAATGAACAGTAAGGTAAAATGATACTGATGACACACTCTTTGGAAAGTGGAGTGTGGAAAAACTAAACTAGCCAGCAGGCTTATCTGCAGGTCTTGGTGTAACAATGCAGATTCATCGAGTGATCTAAATATGTAGAGGGGACAAAAATAGGGGCACTGGGTGCATACGGGTGTTGGGCCAAAGTCTGTTCCCCCATCATTTAATGATTCCCTCTTGAAAAAATAGGTTTCCTGTAGCGCCAAGAACAGAAATTTTTGAGGTGACGTGACTGAAAAACATTTAGGATCTATCCAAAATGAATTTAAGACAATTTTACTTCTAATTAGTAAATGTTTAAGACTTTTTGAGGACCTGTGACCACCCTGAGTTATGACTGAAATGACAAAAAATAAAAATAAATTCTGTTAAAGAAGCTCTGCGTACTCGTTGACTGTGTGGATGTTATTTCAAAACTGTTGGCTCAGGATCACCAGTCCCACTGCATGCCATTACCAAACAGATTACACTAAAGCTCAAGCCCTGATTTCATCTCAGTTCACAGGAATTCTCACCATGCCAAGTGGGTGAACTGAGAGTCAACGGAGCAGCCAATGACTTCGCAGCCGATGCTGCGGAACTCCTCCGCCCTGTCACTGAAAGCTATGATCTCGGTGGGACACACAAATGTGAAGTCCAGGGGGTAGAAGAAGAAGACGACATACTTCCCTGACGAGCACAGAGGGGAAAAAGTTAAACAAGTGTTGACTGTGTTCGACCCGAATTAGATATGACACAAGAAGAAAACGAAAGCAAAAGCAAGAAGCAAATTCCTCAGAGACAGTAGCACTTGCAAATACTTCTGCTACTGGTGGTGAACACTGTCAATGTGAAAGTTACCTTTGTAGTCTGACAGCTGGATTTCCTTGAACTGCCCATCCACTACAGCTGTGGCTTTAAAGGCTGGGGCAGGCATGCCAATCTTAGCATTTCCAGCAGACATGGTGGTGGTGGCAAATGACTGAGGAGAGAATGAAAACAGTTAACAGAAAATTCCTGATGCTTCCTGACCCTGATATAAAGTCACATGAAAGTCACGTTCAGCAGCCTGCAGAGAACAATAGCACATTAGATGGCTTACATAACCATGACTATCAAAAACGAATGAGGGCTCTTACTGGATATAAACACATATGCATGCTTTATAGTAGTGGTACACATGTATTTTTGTTAATCAAGTGTTGACTTTTGCAGTTACATAGAAATGCAGGACAGTTAAGTAACAAACTAAACATACAATCATTGCAACCAGGCCTTCACAGCAGCCATGAGGTGATTACTCTTGTTCTTTCTTTCTATTCTAACAACAGTTTGGTGGTAAAATAAATATGGTGTGCACATACCTATTTCAGTGCACTTGTCACACTTAAAAACCAAACAAAAACCTATCAATCCTTTGTCGTCTTTGTTGATGTAAATGCGCCATTTGCAGTCAATGCTCGGTCAAAGTTCAGCGCTGTAAGGTCAAAGCTTTATAATTCGTCAAATGAGGTGGTAGCAGTGTTGAACAAAGCGTGGCGGGAATTGGCCAGTCTTTTGTGCCAGGGACAAAGAATGAGCCAAAAACAGGCCCAAACACTTAAGAAGGAGAGGAGCAACTGACCCGCACTGCCTGGCTAGCTTAACGTTAGCTTAATGCAGTAAGCCGGTTTCTTTGTCGTCTCTCTGCTCCACACCAAACAGTTTCTACTCTGTCCGAGCTGCGCAGACGAAACGTCAAAGTCTGTCAGTGAAGAGTCTGTCAAACGAAAAACTTCATACTCACCTGACTGAACGTAGAGACGAGGAGAAGTTTGCAGAGCGGAGGTCTGCTGCTGGCAGGAGGAGAGGACTCAAAGGAGGGACCTGCAGTCTGTGGGAGGGACGGCTAAGTGCAAGGAGTGGGCGGGGCCAGCGGTGGCCTCCGGAAGTGAAAATAACTTCTTTCAAAGTAAAGAACGAGATTAGAAAGTGTAAATGTGTCTGTGGGCTCACTTAAGGAAATTGAATTGGTCTATTGCCACTTATTTCAACAACATATACAGTTTCCATCTGATTAAGTCAAGTAATTCTAACATACTGTTAAACCTCAATTAATAGCCCGGGCTATTATTTGCTTAAATCACTGAAATCAATAGGCCTCTATATGGGACAGGCCTTTAATTCCTTTCACACAAAACTGTTGCTCTGCAAAGATGGAGAATACAATCAAATTGCTGTTAAAAGAGCAGCAGTGGTTAGCATTGTTGACTCTGGTTTGAACCCGGAGTGAGGGGTTCAAACCCAGGGTGGGGGAGCCCCTCTATGGGAGCCTACATGTTCTCTTCATGTCAGCGTGGGTTTTCTGCGGGTACTCCAGCTTCCTCCCACAGTCCAAAGACATGCAGGTAAACTGGTTACTCTAAATTGTCTGGAGGTGTGAAAGTAAGAGTAAATGGTTGTCTGTCTCTATGTGTCAGCCCTGTGATAGTCTGGCAACCTGTCCAGGGTCAGCATGGTCAGGCTCCAGTCCCCCTGCAACCCCCAACTGGATAGACAGTTACGGAAAATGAATGAATGAATTGTTTATTCAAACCAGTATGAATATGCTTTAAAATCAGGCTTCAGATAACGTAAAGATTATGAATCATTTATTTGATTTAGGTCCGACAGACAGCACATCAGAGAAAGAGAGAGTTATGGCATTCGAGGATTACAACATGCTGACACGACACCACTTTATCCTCTTAAAACAATACTCACAACTTGGATGTATTTTTAGGAAAAACACTATTGATTCTTTTGATCTAACGGACCCTTACGGACTAAAGGAATATGAATAACTTTGAGGGTAATTGGGGATTGGACATGTAATTTGAGGTAGCCAACAACCCGATTTAATACATGTGAGGAACTTTTTTTGGCAACCAGACCTGGGGTCTCATTTATAAACACTGCATACACACAAAAAGAGGCCTGAGAGAGGCGAATGCCACTTCCCAAGCAAAAGTTGTGATCTATAAAGACAGATTTGATGGGAGAAACTTTGACCCATGCTAAAAAACATTTGGGAAACAGGAAATTGGTGATGCAGATGATAAGATGGAAGCCTGATTGTTCAAATTATTGAATATTTTTTGCCACACACAATTTTTGGCTTTTGTTCGTAGGCTAGGTGCATTTTTGGTATGGATCCTACACACTGTTTTATAAATGAGACCCCAACTAATTGAGACGAGCGTCTATTTGTCTAAATGTGTAGCCACAGCGGACCAGTTGAAGGGACTTGGCGTTTAATTGGCTCTTAATTGAAGTTTTACAATAAACAATAAAAAAAACAGCATTTTTGCAATTGAATCAAAATAAACTTCATGTAATAAAAATTCATGTAACTAGCTCATAGACTTTACCTAATTCAGTTTAATAAAGTTTATGTAATTATTGTCAGTAAATTCCGTGTATTTCAAATCAAGATCAAGATTAATTTTATTTTCCTACAAGGTGAGAAATCTGTCTTGGGCTCAAACTGTGGAAACTTTTAAACACCTTGGTACAGTTCTGGACTCCCATGTGAGCTTCTCTGAAAATACTGAGTGTATTTTCAAGAGACGCTCACAGCAGCTTTATCTTCTTATGAAGCTCAGTGGCCTCGGTGTCATCAGATTTTAGACTTAGCGCACCAAGCTATGAGAATGACTTAAGTTTCACCTTCCTGTCTGATACGGTTATCTTAACGGGACATCCAAAAATAAACTTTTAAGGATTGTGACAATGGTTGGCAAGTCACAAAAGCCCTCCACCCAGCTCTTTACAGAAAGGAAGAGGAAGAAAGCGAGGAGTATCTTGGCAGATAGCTCCCATCCTCTCTTCAGCTAGTTTGAGCTCTTGAGCTCCGGGAGATGCTACATAGTCCCTCTGGCAACTAAAAATGCAATTAAGAAGCATTTCATCCCAAGTGCCACCAGTATCCTTAACTCAGCAAAGTGCCTGACAAGTTTTAAACCACAGACAGACAGTGAGCTGATATGTTTAAGTGCTATATGCTTGTCTTGCTGACTATTTGTCTGCTTCTTACAATCTTGTCTTTTGTGATTGGTGATTTATTTTCTCAACATCATGTGCAATATTACTTTGGCAATCTGCATTTCCCCACCATTTTAGTTCATTTTTAGTAACTCTTATACTAATATTACTTCTATCATTATTTTATTAGACACTGTTTTCTGCTTTTTGCTCCTCAAACACTTTCTATGTTGTATATTTTGCCCAGTGTGTGACCTTGACTGGGGGAACCCACTGTTTTTTCTGGGTGCTGCTGGTTGCTACTGGTTGCTACTTGTACTGCATTAAAAAGGACAGTTAAATCAACCAAAGTGCTAATACAACAATGGCCAAGCATCAGGGAGAAAAATCACTTAACTATAAACTTTCTAACAAGCTGTTATTGGTTAATTGTACAGTTTATTAGTTGTTCTGCACTGTTATTGTTATTCATTAAACATAATATATAATATCTATAAAATATGTCACCTAGTCCGTTTACTCAAAGATAGAAACGGGGTCATTTAATGAAAAAGGTTGGGAACCACTAACTCAGTGACATAATTAAACCACCTGCCTTTCTCTGTCATTAGGGGGCAGCTTTGCTCACCCGAAGCTCTGTTAATACAACATTCGGGCTTTTATTTTGAAAGACTCGTCACCGGGAATGTGAACACCACTTCAGCTAAGCTTGTCAGTGTCCCAAACTGCTGTCCAGAGGCACTCTATTCAAATCTTTAGGTGAGTTAACTTTGATCTGTGATTGATAATTGTTGTTTGGTTTCCAGTACTGAGTATAGGATGTGTAGCTTGTCGCCGTTTCGCTTAAATTACATTTAACATGAGCTAGCATGCAGCTAACGTTAGCATGCTTCCAGAGCAAAACAAAGGGCGCAACAGAGAAGTTAGCTTTGATAGATTCAACTGAGATGATTCAGCTAGTTACAGTTTTAAATTTAGTCTAGGACATGTTTAATGCGAACAATACAGTCAATTTAAGTTGTTAGTGAAGCAGTAATTGAAAGGAGATGTTTCTCTGATAATGACTAACGTTACATGTTGTCATCCACAGCTTTAAAGATGTTTCTTAACGGGCATCAACAAGTTTTCGCGATGTTACGGTCGTGTCACGTTATTTTAAGGTTAGCTGTCTGTCAGAGCAACAGGTTAGATTTTCTTATTACAGCCTGAGTCTGGATATTTTAGGGAAGTTACACACTTATTTTGCATCTTGAAAGCTATGACAGCTAAAAACCCATTTGTACATATTTGTCATGACCAATAATATTTCATTTTTAAATTTCTTTAACGTTACTGAATTAATATATTTGACATATAACAACACAATCCTCTTCCATTCCTGTACAAAGGTTTCACAGATTGTCAACTTTCTCATCCCACAAAAGAAACACACACAGTTATCAGCAGCCATGGATTCACCAGGTAGGGGACACTGTTATGAATGAGTAACCAATAATTACATTTTAGACATACTAGGAATGCATGATGATATCAGCACATCATTGGTATTGGCCGATATTGGCTTTAAAATTAACTATTATAGTCAGCCAACATGCTTTTTCTTATTTTGCACAATGACAGAATATTACGTATTATGAAAGGTATTGTATTTCATTTATTCATCTACTGGTGGGCCATCACAATAAGAGCATGCATAATATGGTGTTGATTCCAATACACAAGAGACTTGATGATCACTAAAATTAGGTGGGGACAAAAGTGGATATATCGATATTGATTATCGGGCAAATCAGTTTGACCTATCGGATATTGACAAAAAATGCAATATCATTCATCCCTAATACTATATTGCTACATGAGCCGGAAGAACTTTGTTCATTATGTTAAATTGGTCATCTTCATGATTAGACCTTGATCACAATATCATTTTGATTTGATTCTTGAACAGTTTCTCGTGAGTACTTTTAATAAAACAGAACCCAGGACTGTGCTTATTTCTGATACATGCAAAATTTTAGAAAGTACATTCACACTTACAATTCTAGTCCATTTTACCATATGCACTTAATAGTGAAAATCTCTTTTCAAGGCTTAAAGGTCTAGTGTGTAGGATTTAATGGCATCTAGCGGTAAGGTTACCAATCACAACCAACTGAAACATCTACCATGTGGCAATGATGTAGGAGAACTGCGGTGGCCGACAGGAAAAAGCAAACAGCCCTGTCTAGAGCCAGTTTTTGATTTGTCTGTTCTGGGCTACTGTAGAACAACATGGCAGGCCATGTGGAAGAGGACCCACTCCATATGTAGATGAAGGGGCCCAGTCAGGTCAAGAAAACACAGTGATTCTTAGTTTCAGGCGATTATTCATTAATGAAAACATATTTCATTTCTGCCAACCGATGCCCCTAAATCAATTATACTGGACCTTTAATTCATAGAAATACATTGGATCAGTATTTGGGCCACTATTTACCTTATTAATTGGATCATTATCAGTCAGAAACACGCAAAACACCGTTTCTTTTATAATTTTATTATAAAATGTAGTGTTGCTACTATCAGGTACAGTCATCGGGGGCCAACTCCTTACTTTTAAATCTCTGGTCCCATGTAGCCTTGTAAAAAGTTGATTCCAGTGAAATCTCACAGTGTGATGTGCTGCAGATTTTAAATGTGGGGGAAAGTAGGAACCTGTATCAGCAGATAACCTGAGTTAAAGAGAAAAGTCCTCTCTGAACTTCTCCACAGCTGCCACACAGCCCGTCATATGCGAGGTCTGTGGAACGTACTTTGAGACACGACGAGGGCTCTCCAGCCACGCCCGCCTCCACCTACGACAGCTCGGTGTGACGTTGTCAGAAAGCAGCGGAGCTCCCATTGAACTCCTCTACCAGCTCATCGAGGAGAGAG